GTTCTGGATTTGATTTCAGGAACTTTTTGGTAGTTTTTTCAGCATCTTGGCAAAAAACGGTTATCGGGTGGTTGCGGATGGGTTGTGCGTTGAAACCATGCAGGTAGTTGAGGATGACATTTGTTGCTTGACATCTATTGGAATCCTGTGTGTTCTTTTGTGGTTCTGTCCTAATGATTGCTTCTAAATTATCCATGACATGGTAAAACGGTATATCCTGAATATTAAAGTTGGGGACTGCCAAGCCGAAACTGTTTATTGTACATACATACATACATACAAAAAGTAACACTTCCTTCAGCAGAAAGCAAATATATTCGCACGACAAGAGAGCACGATGCGGACTGTGCCTAAATCATTAGTTTTGGGTGTATAGAGGCTTCGGGAAAGTTTTTGCATTTGCAAGACATTAGGGTGGTCTGTATATTTGATGAGTTAAAAAATCAGCAATTTAGCTATTCGAGATAGACCAGTGGAATGTTCGACAAACTTATAGAACTTAGAATTTGAAACAATTTTACTGCCCATAATCGCAAGTCCGTCCCATCTGTAAAAATCTGAAAATGAAAAAATGGCATTCAAAGATTTTACAAATTTAAAAATAAAAGTACAATGCGATTTTTTTTCCGCTGTTCGGGACATAACACCACTGCGACTAGTAATTTGATCTATTGTAGTATATCCCGTGTCCTTAATTTAGTGCATTTCGTATTACTCCATCACTATTGAGAAATGATGAAGTATTCGATTTTTTTTTACAGTTGTCCTGTTGTCATTCTTGCATTTATCGCAAGGATCCGACTCTAATAGAAAGGTCCCGCTATTTATACCCTCCGGAGTTATGAAACACCCTTAGCAACAAAATTAAGGTATGACACCGATAATGACCATGCATCAGGACCCAAGTCTTAACCACTTCAAACTAAGGAACAACGAATAGAAGATTAGGAATCACATAGATGAAGACTAACCAACTCATTTTTTCCTTGTTTCAAGATCATCCTCGGCAGACAAAACCGAGTCTTGTTACTATTAACAATCCATAAAAAGTAACAAGGACTAAGATGTGTTCCTTGGATTACGGAAAAATCCTGTTCCCCTAGTTTGAAGTAGTCCGGAATAGGAATCGATGGTAGATCTTACATCCCGTAACGTACCACGAAAAGGTGATCTAACCACGTTACGGGACGATAGAATGCATCTATGTTTACCAAATCATATTAAAAAAATATCGTGAAATTTTCATTTTATGGTCAAAATCTGAGGTGGACTTGCGATTATATTTAACGTCAATGAGAAAAATAACCGCAAATCAGTCACAATCCCATGACGATGCTGCATTAGTTTAGCACAGTATTGAACAGTAGAACGATACCATGGTCCCATAGAACCTTATTGAATGTTTCTGGATTTGTTCCGCTGGTTCCAGAGCAATGGCCGGAACATATTCTGGTGAGTATGGGTCTTCATCAGACCAGAGCTTTTCATAAACAGGCCAAACCCACCATGCTATAAATCATTTCACACGAGAATTCAAAAATAAGATCAATAAGAGTCATGATGAGTGACCAGCACCATGTTTGCCACACCCGGACATGTTCCCCGGGTATCCCCGGGGAAGTGGTAAATCCTTTTTAAATCAAAATCCATCAGGCGATACATCAAATCACATGAGAAACTGTCAAACTGAATATCGTAAGCACTATATTGGCCTAATCCGGACATGATCCAGATACCCTAGGGGAAGTGGACAAAATCTGTCTCGAGACAAATCTCATGATGCGATGCGTTGTCTAACATTTCTAACATATGTTTTCCTAATGGGACTGACTTGCGGTTACTTTTCGCTGTGGGACAATTTGACTTGGTATTGTTTTTCGTTTTTCTTGAACAAACCACCTTTTTTCAATAGTACATCTCAAAAAACATAGAATGATAAATTGAATAATGATGCTAACTCAAAGTTGATAAAAATGCAGATGGGACTGACTTGCGATTACCGGCAGTTTACATAGTGAAACAATTTTCTGTGTCTAATGGTTCACGATTTATTCTGATTTTACTAAGTAACTTAGAGTGGCCCAACAAATCAGGTTTTCAAACGTAACCTTTTGTACATTGTTTTATCGTAAAATATATGTTGTAGATACTGAAACAACTTTGTTGCTATCTCTTCTTGTTTAATTTTTAAAATGGCGCAATTGGATTTTTGATTATTTTTTTTTTAAATGATGCTATTGGCTTCACATAAATGACCATGGTTGCATTTATACATGGCAAAAAAACTGTAAAGGTACATTTGATAAGCTCATTTAATTCACTTCTGAACAGAGTAAATTTTATGCTGAAAATTATTCATAAAATTACAAAAACAGGGAAAGCGCCTTAGCTTATTATTTTGAGTCACTCTTCTTCTTCTTTGCATTTCAAGCTTATTGCATATCGCATATTAGCTTATTGCGTGCTCTCAACTTAGTGTTCTAGATGCACTTCCACAGTTATTAATTGAAAGCTTTCAATTCCTGTACCATTTTTGCATTGATGTGATTGTGTGGCAAGTCCAATCATACTTCTATGCCCAGGGAAGTCGAGAAATTTTCTAATCCGAAAAATTCCTAGACCGAACCTGGAATCGAACCCAGCCACCTCCAGCATGGTCTTGCTTTGTAGCTTCACCTTTACCGACTGAGCTAAGGGAGGCCCCACGAGTCACTCTACATTACATATTAAAAACATGAATACATACATCGTCAACCATTAGAGATAGAAAATTGCTTCCTTCAACAAAGTTGCTTCAAATGAGTTGTTCTACAACTAGTATCTAGTAAGTCATTCATTTTACGAGATATCCATGTAAAAAATGTTACTGTTGAAAACCCATTTTTTAAGGGGTCACCCTAAGTTGCTTATTAAAAGTCAGTATAAATCATGAACTAATGAAGATAGAACATTTCTGCATGATCTTGAATACCTAAAAATTTGATATTTTGAACTCATCAACTGAATGCACGTAAAAATATGGGCCAAAATATATGCAAAAAATTTCGCGAAGACACTATGTACACTAAAACTAATGATTTAGGCACGAACAGTTTATTCCACCTAAATACGGTCTTTGAACTACAGTGCAATGAGGATCTCAATTACCGTAAAGGCTCAAAAATTCAAGTACTTAGTCCAGATTGATGGACGCTTTTTAAAGTTGATTATCACTGCCTACGATGCTCAAAACAGCTCGTAAATTTTGTCTTTCGCATAATTACTATGTTGCAAAATAGACGTTATATTTAATAAAAAATGAAACGTCCGTATTAATAGACCATCCGGTATTCGGAGCTTTACTGCAACACTCCTTTCCATAGACGAAACAGCCTATGGATGAAAATTTACCAGTTAATGCATCAATCAAACAATCAAGAGGAATACTGAAAAGGAATCCAGGCGATTTCTGAAAAGAGCTTCAAAGACATCCTGAGGAGAATTTCAAGGAACTTCTGTAGGGATTCCAAAGAAAGTTATTCTCATTAAAATTCATTTGAAATACTGAGGATGATTCCAACGAACTTCTGAGGTGTACCACAAATAAATTTAAAAGAGAATATCATGTGAGTTCTGAGACAAATTTAAACGGTTGAAGTTGAAGAAGAATTGAAGAGAATTGAGCAGCTTCACGTCAAAGAATCGAGCAGCTCCACGCCAAATGACGAATTGGAAAAACTAGACCTCAAAAAATTGTAGCATGGAAACGGCACTTCTGATTGAAATGACATCCGGGACAAAGTTGTAGAAAAAATATACAAGAAATGTTTTTAGTGATTCAAACAAAAATTTAAAAAAAATGTTTAAAAAAACCAAACGTCTGAAAATGCATACTTTTGGAATATTTAAATTTAAAGACACTTGACTGAATTATAAACATCTAGTATTGAGCATCGGAAATTAACAGCTGTTCTGAAGATCTTCAACTGCAAAACAATTTAAATTAAATTTCCTAGAGCTTTGAGTATGTTGGTTTATTTACTTTTGATTCCGTTATAATTGCTTATCTTTTGACAGATACGCGCATTTCGTCTACTCCTTGCAGACTTCATCAGTGCCAAGTAGGTGGGGTTGAGTACTTGCTAAATTTGGACCCTTAAATCAAATGATGGCTACTTACAACAAGCTCTGCGAAACTATTGACTTTACAATGACAAAAACCAAACTAAAACACCACTTCAATTTAGTTCGTGATTTTAACACGAAAAATACAATATTGTTAAGGCGAACGCTGTTTTATTTTTTTTTATTATTCATTATTACTATTAAAAACAAAGAATGTTACAAAATGGTCTACACATGATTGACGACAATACATAAATTTAGCAAATATTCCAAACGAAAAAGTCATTTTCAATCAATGAAACACCATCGAACCCCAAACCGGTTCCCTAAGCAGTAACATCACACTTCAGTTAACGGCGTAATAAACCAAAACATTGCCGACTAGCTCAATTACGGTTTCATGTTTGCAATCGATCCAGTTTCCTAGCTGAGCTCGCTCTCCTGCCCGTAGAGGTGTACGGCACCAGCTTTAACGACCTCCCGATCGTACCTGCAGTGAGCCACTGCAAACACACACTCGCACCAGCCGGTTCTGACCAAACATCTCTCAAACCACGTGCACCAACAAGAGATCAAAACGTGCCGGGAGTTTTCTCTCGCTCGGAAAAATCACCCCCTGCATTTTCCAACCCAAGCCAGAGATCGCACACCAGCGAAGGAGAGTGAGAGTGACTGGACTCTCGCTCTCCTTCGCATGCTCGCGATCGCTCTCTCACTCTGGGCCGCCCGTGTTGTTGTTGGTCAACGTCGTCGAAAAGCAAAAGAAGAAAAAACGCGCGCGCACTACAGAAGTGTCTCAATCTCACCCCCTTTGCGAGGAATTGGACCTCATGCGCGCGCCAAAGGGGGAAAGTGTTTTCTGTATAAAAGACCAGGGCACGCTACCGAACACTATCCAGTATCTTTTCGTAGTCTGGTCTTCCCAGTTCACCATCTCTCACCGAACCAACTAGTAGGAGCATCACAATGAAAACATTGGTACGTTCTATTCTTGAGTGTTTGTTTTGCGATCAAAGAATCATTTGGAATCAATGGAATTAAAAAAAAAAAATGTGTTCTTCGGAAAATGGCAAAGTGGCTAGTGTGAAATACAAACAAAAAATGGACTATTAGCAAGAGTGATTAAAATGGACTTTGGAAGCGGATTAAGTGCGATGATGCAATACAGTCAACCAGTGGGCAGTTAACTAACTGGTTCAGCGGAAAAGCATTTGCATTTTAATCCAGTGCAACTTGTTTGCGATATGCTGATGAGGATTTAGCAACAAGTGGACTTTCGCTTTCGTGTCTGAAGCCAATAGTGTTTGTGTGTGAACATAATTTGAGCAACGAGCTGCGAAGGACTTTGGCGAGCTCTTCCTCTTCCGAGTTTTTTTTTTTTATGGGTGATTCTGCTTTGTGAGAGGTTGAATTTTAATGGGTTCTTTGTTTTTGGTTGGGTTTCGTTACAGGTGTTGTTAGGGTTAGCCACGCTGTTGGTTTTAAGTTCAGCGGCCGAGGACAAGAAAGAGGCCGAAGAAGTGAAACCAGTCGAGCAGGCTGACAAGAAGCAGGATAAGCGTGGCATCTTCGACCATGATTTTGGTGGACATGACTTCGGTGGACATGACTTCGGCGGACATGACTTCGGGGGCCATCACGAACAAATTGAACATCATGATCATCACGTTGACTACCATCCACATCACGAGAAGACCCTGACCGTCATCAAAAAGGTCCCAGTTCCATACCCAGTGGAGAAGCACATTCCATACCCAGTAGAGAAGCACATCGCAGTGCCCGTCAAGGTTGGTGTGCCAAAGCCTTACCCAGTGTACAAGACTGTTCACTACCCAGTGAAGGAGATCGTCAAGGTGCCATACAATGTGCCAGCTCCTTACCCCGTTGAAAAGAAGGTCCCATACCCAGTCCATGTCCCTGTTGACCGTCCAGTCCCAGTCAAGGTATACGTGCCAGCCCCATACCCAGTAGAGAAGAAGGTCCATTACCCAGTCAAGGTCCATGTCCCAGCCCCATACCCAGTTGAGAAGAAGGTCTATGTCCCGGTCAAGGTCCCAGTCCATGTTGAAAAGCCATACCCAGTTGAGAAGGTTGTGCACTACCCAGTCCATGTTCCAGTTGACCGTCCAGTCCCAGTCCATGTCAGCAAGCCAGTGGCAGTCCCAGTAGATAAGCCAGTTCCATACCCAGTCTACAAGAACATCCCATACCCAGTCCATGTCCCATATGACCGTCCAGTTGCAGTGCACGTTGATAAACCAGTGCCAGTCCCAGTCAAGGTCCCAGTACCACAACCCTACCCAGTCGTTAAGCACATCCCGTACCCAGTCGAGAAGCACGTCCCATATCCAGTCAAGGTCCCTGTCGATCGCCCAGTCCCATATACTATCGAGAAGCACATCCCTTATGAAGTCGAGAAGCCAGTACCATACCATGTCCAGGTCCCAGTTCATGTTCCAGTCCACCACGAGGAACACCATCATGAACATCAAGAAGAATCCCATCAATTTGAAGGCCACGATTTCCACCATGAACATCACCACTAAAAAGAGATAATATTGTGATAACCCCCCCCCCCCCCCCCACTTAATCGAAAATAGTTACCTCCTAGTTCCTGAAATACTAACCCAAAACCCAATCCCCCTCGAAAAACAAAAAAAAGCCCCCCAAAGAAACTAACCGATCATTCGTATTCGACCGTAAGAATGACCTGAATTTCAATGAACTACAACGTTCAAACGTTCGTGATATTGACTAAGTTACCATAATTGCCTGTGTAAGTTTACATTAGAAGAGCTTCATACAAGCGAAAATACTCACCGGAACAATCATACACCAAGCAACAACAACAACTATTTCAAGATTAAGTCAAAACCGACCGGAAAATCATGATCGGAAACGGTGAGTGGCTTTCCCTGCTTGCCAGAAGGAAAGCTAGCACGTTTCTCATAAATTTTCCACCCCATACGAAGCCCGAAACAGCGAAACGGGCTGAATTGTTATTTGTTTATCAATTATTAACGATTGATGCACATTGGATCAATCGACCGAACAGAGTGAAAAAAAAAATGATTTAAAAAAGACTTATTAAAAAAAAATGAACCAAAAAATTAAAATCAACCGCCTTTCCTAACTGCCACCTATAAATTTGAAGAAATTTCCCCCGTTTTCCATTAATATTGATTTGCAATTTTCTGCCTAGTCTGATCGTAATTGAAACAACAAGCAACTCCCCCGATTTAACGATCATGGTTGGGAGTGCAGCCACTATTCATCACCCAACTCGTATCGTCGTAGTTCCACCTGAGTGACGATCACTGTAGATCGTGTTTAATCGAAAGCGTCAAACTACTCGACATCAAGGGTGCATTGCACCACCATTTGAACAACCTAAAAACAGCACGATTGCATTGCATAACACGGTTGATATAAGTGCAATGTACAGGAGTAGTTTTGGCAAAAAAATAATTAAGAAAAATTAAAATTAAAAAACCACTTGCTGCATCATATTTAATCGCACTTGTATAACGTGTCAAATAAAAAAAAAAAACTCTAAACTACATAGCAAATCGTCCATTATCGTGGTTCTTATGTCGCATTTCAAAACCCAACCATTGCGTACATTCTGATCGTCAATCCAACCAGCGAGTGACCTAGATCTCTCTACCTTCCAACCTTCCCCGCACTAAACATGCATAAATTAACGCGGTTCGCACATCTGGTTGATTGACTGATGCATGGCGTCACCTGAACTGGACTGGTTTTCTTCTGACCGATCCGATCAAATCGAATCGAATCGAATGTCGGTCAATTTGCGGCAGGAAATGTGCTCATAATTCATAATGCACGTGGGAAATTGAGGAATGCACTTCATAACAACAGGGTTGAACTGTTTGTGTGTCGCATTGATTGCAGAAAAAAAAAGTTATCGAATAATTATCCAATCCAGCCGAATTTGCGAATTTAATTGATCTGCATCGAAGCAGATGTCAGTCAATTGTGTGGACTGCTTTCGTCATTTGAAGCAGCAAGCTGCGCATTTGAGACTCATGAACAATTCCACGTAAAATGGTGAATCGATTAGACGCGACCTTCTCCGGTTTGCATGAAATTATATTGTTTGTGGTCAATCACAATTTAGCTAAGATTCAGCCATTTGGAATCTTGCAAAAAAATTAAAAATGGTGAATTCTATATTCCTCCAGAAATCATACCACGAAAACGTCACTTCTAATCGCAATGATGATGATTATGATGATGATGGTCCCACCTCTTACCCTTACAAAGGTTTGAGCTGGACGATTTATATAATTGAATATGACATTTTAACCAGGCTGGCAAACAAAATCGAACTGGTTTCAGTTACAGATATAAATTCCCTCTAGAGTTTACAGTTGCTTCATAGCGATATAAATGTGGAAAAGCTCAGGCGTCCACCTCTTAGTTCGCCTTTTAGTCCACCTAAAATATTCATAAGTATTACAAGCAATCAAGAGTTAATGAACAATCAACAAAGCATCCTATTACATTAGCAACCCCGCAATCTGATGCTATCATAATTTTCAGCAATGTCAGGAATGCTCACGAACCCCCAACATTTTCCAGAAAACTTACTACTAGCTCAAGGTATCTTCCAAATAAGCTTCAAAATTGCATTTTTTTATCAAATGTTAAATTCAGTCCTCTATATCCGTAATACGCGCGCGAGGCTCAAACCTTTGTAGACTACTTTTTTTTTAATTAATATACTATTAAATCAAATATTAAAAATCCATCATCACCCTCGTGGTGAACAGAAATAGTTTTTGCAGTGCTACAATAATTATCAAAAAGTTGTTATGACAGCTATCCATATAAAATAATCCGTTAGAGATAACTTCGTCAAGATACATAATTTGTCAATTCATAAAAAAAATCACTGGATAATTGTTCAAAAGACAGTTTTAACGTGTGAAATGCAGTGTCTTTTAAATTTTGTAACGTTTGATATGTCTAGGCATCGAATTGAAAACATTTATTCCTTTATAATATAATGAATTTTGTGAAGCACAAGTCAAGAAATGTGGTGTTCTTATTTCAACCGCGTTTCTAGTATTATATCTATGATAGTCACTTCCTCTTTCAATTCGATCACACAAATATCGAGGCAGCAAACCGTTAAATACTTTAAAAATGAACACCATAGTCAAATATACAATTCTTTGCTTCATCGACAACCATTGTAAGGCGTCTAGCATCAAATTTGAGGAAGTGAATCTATTACATCTCAAAATCAAGCGCATTATTCTATTCTACAAGCGCTGTAATCTCGATATTTGTGTTGCATTGGACAGAAATAAAATGAAAGGGCAAAAGTCAAGATGAGGAGAGATGATTGATTTGTATAGCTGTATTTTACTGGAAATAGTTAAATCGTTTTTCAGTCGACATAGAATTCCATACTTCTTGGCAATTTTCTTGATGACATTGTCAATGTGAGAGTTGAACTTAAGTGTGTCATCAATAATCACGCCAAGATATTTAATCTCCCGAACGCGACGAATAGTCTCATCATCAATTACAACAGAGACGTTCTCATTTACTCGATTCCGCGAAATAACCATAAATTTGGATTTATTTGTATTCAATTTTAACTGCTTACACTTCAACCATCTCCTTAGATACTGCAAATCTTCATTCAAGTGTGAGACGGCAACTTCTAAATCCTTAGCTGCAATGAATAACACAGTATCAATGCAAAAAGATTAATGTCGCAAAATCGTAAAACACGTCGCAAGTCATTAATATACATAATATATAACAGGGGCCCTAATACACTTCCCTGGGGCACTCCAAGGGTGTTCCACACGGGACTGGAAACAGAATCATTAAAAACAGTCCGTTGAGTTCTGTCAGACAAATAGCTTTCAAACCATTTATATGCAGTACTCGTAATTCCCAAGTGCTTGATTGATCTTAACAATAAGGTCCTAGAAATTGTTTCAATAGCGCGTTTAAGATCCAAAAAAACAGCAACAATCGTATCTTTACACTCCAAGTTATTTTTCCACTTCGCTAATACCAAATTCAACGCGGTTTCACAAGAATGACCTTCCCGATATCCCGATTGTTCTGGTATCAACAAACTATTACTAATTAAATACTCCAACAGCTGGCCTTTAACAACAAGTTCTAAAATTTTCTCTAATGTGTGCAACATGTTGATGGGACGAAACTCTTCGGCTTTAATCGTTCCAGCAACTTTTTGAATAGGAACCACTAAGGATTCCTTCCAAATTTGTGGCACATGTCCAGTTTGTAATGATTCATTAATAAGGTCCAGCAAGATGTGGCCAATGACATGAAAGCAATCTTGAATAACTCTAGCATTAACATTATCTACTCCAGCCGATTTTCCTAATGAAAAACAAATAACTCTAAGTTCATCTAATGTGATTGGGTGAAAAACTTCAAATCTACAACTACTATTAACTGGCTGTTTTATTTCGTCAGGTTCATCGACCAATTCAATAGATTGATTAATCAATGAAACGCTATCTACGAAATAATCATTAAACTTAGCTGCGATTACTTGTTCTGACTGTTCTAATGTGCCATTAAAAATTATGGACAGCGATTTGCAATTACTAGGTTTTAATAAAGATTTCAAATTTTCCATAACTCTTTGCTGTTGTGTTGATGCTGATCAATCTTCCTTTGAACATATTCACAACGAGGTTTCTTTATCGATTGTGAATACTTATTACGCGCAATTGTGTACCTAGTCCAATGATTGTCATTATTAGATCTGCAAAACTTTTTGTACAATTTGTCCCTTTTTCGTTTAAGACGCAAAAGATCCAAATTGTACCAGCTGTACGAGTTTTTCAAAGAAACAAACTTTTGCTCAACTAGTTGATTAGTACACGTTTTCAAAGCGTTATTAAGAACAGCTGTAGATTCATCTAAGTTACCGACCGCGAATGGAAAATCCAGGCTTCTCTCAACAAGATTCGAAACAGCTTGCATCGAATATATATCCTCCAGCACTTCAATTTTACAAAATTATCGTTATCGTTAACATGGTCTAAGACATTAATCACTAAAGTCTCATGATCGGTTATTTTCAAATCAGTATCCGTAACTGAACAAATGGAATCAAAATTGGAATAAACGTGGTCAATTAATGTTCTACTGTGCCTGGAAATACGCGTATATTCATTTACCGTTTGCTTTAAATTAAAAAAACTCAGCTAAACGCTTCAAATGATTCGAATTATGGTTATCACGCCAATTAATATTAAAATCACCAGCCAATATATTTAATTTACTGGAATCAAGGAATGTCTCAAGCCAGTTCTCTAAAACTTCAACAAAACGCTGGTCACTAGAACTGGGAGAATGATACAAAACACCATAATTACCCATCTTCATGCCACGTACAACTGTAATGCCCAAGAACCAGTTGCCATCAATAACTTCGTTGGTATAAATACATTATTGACATAAATAGCAACACCGCCAGTGTGTCTAGAATGTGATAAACAAGCAGCAACAATATATCCCGGAATACTATACTGATCAAAAGCTTCAGTTTCTACAATATGAGTTTCAGATAAGAAAACTAAAAGAGGACTTTTTTCCTCAACAATCTGACGTAATTCTACGTAGTTTGTTGACAACCCCGCAATATTCAAGTATAAAAAATCGAATTGATTCACATTCCTGGAACTTGGCTGCTATTTATTGAAACGCAAGCTGCTTTTCTTCTGATCAAAAAGTCTTTTATAAAGCAAACATTCCAAACTAAATGCGGCATGGTTGACGTCCAAGTTCATTTTTCGTTCTTTATTCGTTTTCAAACAATTAATACATTTCAATACAGTCTGAGACAAAGTTGTAGAAAAAATAAATCATTTTCTGGAAAAAAAATATACATCAGAATTTAATTTTGAAAGACTCAGCAATTGATTTTTTTTTTGTGTAAAAATTTACATAAAATGGCATAAACCAAAAATTTAAAAAAAAAAACAATACCAAAAGTTGTTGATCTATTTTTTGAAAATTTTTATGATTCCAAATTGATTTTTTTTTTCAGAAGTTAGCTGTTTAAAAAGTGATAACAGAACCTAAAGAC